GACTGAACGAATGAACAACAACAACAATTCAAGGCTTTCCTGAAAGGCCCAGGTCTAATGGGGTATTGGGCCTGTGGGGACCCACCCCTCCCCCCAACCCCCCAAAAACTACCCTAAAAACTTTTAAAAACTTACCAGGTCGTCATTCCTCTCGGTAGTATCGTTTGTCTGGAAGGGCTCTCATATAATCCAATTCTGATTTGATAATCTGGATTATATGGCAGTGTAGATCCAGCCTGAGTTGTAAAATGGGGATAATAGTGTTGGTGTAAAATAAGAATTAAAGATTCAGATGTATGTCAATCTGTTTTAGGCCCTATCTACACTGTCATATAATCTAGTTCCTGAATCCAGATTATCTACTTTGAACTGATTATATGCCAGTGTGGACTCATTATTATCTTCCTAATAATAATAATAATAATAATAATAATAATAATAATAATATATTCATAAATAAATAATAGATAGGAAGATGCCTGTCTCTGTGTGTGTTTGTATTCCTATCTAATATTTATTTATGAATAAATTTGGAAACTGGATTATATGGCTGTGTAGATCCAGCCTTAGAGAGCCTAATAAATTCCATGTTGACATCTCACCGACAGTCTGTATTGTTTGCTGAGCATTGTCATTTGTGCTATGCTAGAAATGCTGTAATACAATATTATGTGTACAAGGCCACCCCATTAGATGTTATGGTTACATTCAGCATTGATAAGAGATGCATATGCAATATAGGTATTCTTAATCTAAAATAATCCAAAATTCAAAACCCACCTGTGGACAAATATTTTGGATTAGGAATATTCAGCCTGTACAAATGAAAACACAAAGATATGATCAATGTAAAATTGATAGCACTAATACCATTACTGGTAATTAAATTATATAAAGAGAGAAATTCCTAGAGAATTCAACTGATATCTATAAACTCAATATCATTTTAAACATACACATTAAAAGGTGACAATAGACACAGCAAAACAGCACAACATTTTTTAAAAACCCTTGTAGTCTGATTTGCAATAAAAATGTTTTCACCTGCAAATAGAAAAATAGTACTGAAGGAAGCACTCTGATCCTCGGGGAAGGGAGTTCCAGAGATTAGAAGCAACCACTAATAAATTTCTCTCGCACTTTCCCGATAAATGCTTTTGTGAGAATTATGGAAGAAAAAGAAGTGTAAATTGGCTCAATGAGTCTACTATAGTTGAGATTAATGGGGTTCTGACATGATAGGTTTAATACAGGGCTCCCAAACTTTCCAAGTACAAGAAATTATTTCTCTTTTAAAAGAGAAAATATTCCAGGTATTCCACACACAAGAATTGCATTTGATTGACTATGACCCTGCCTTTTCTTACTTTATAGAGGGAGGAGATGCGGTATCAATAGATCAAACTTTAACATCTTGATTTTTGGTTGTCTCCTGTGAACGGCTACTACTTTTTCTTTTCTGAAGGCAAAGAGGACGAAAACCTGTAAGTGACATTAACCAGGAGGACCTGACAGAAGACAAGTTAAGTGTTAATCAATAAATCATCCAAGTAAATTGTTTGTGTCTATAATTCCAAACCAGCTTTGCACACCCTTGAGTGGTTTATGGTGCTCCCTAGTGTTTTTTTTGTGTCAACTACAGAACATTGATTTTATGTTTTTTGTGTCAACTATGCTGATGACAATGTCGTCTGTGCGCATTCAGAAGAAGATCTACAAGCCACTCTAAACACCTTCGCAGAA